CGCGAGTTGTTTTTTTAATGGGCACAGAGTTTCCGTTCTGCAAGATGAAAGGATTTGTACAGATGGTTAACATTAATGCTTGCACAACGATATGCATGTAACTAACAATACTGCACTGTACACTTAAAATGATATATTGTATGTCTTATGTGTTGTAGTACCATTTACAATGTTCTAAAAATTTAGAACTTGCTCTCTGAAAGGCTTTGGCGAGAGGATGCTTAAAAGTTAAGCTGCCAAGTGGGAGAAAATATTTGTAAACCACATATTCGACAAAGGACTCGTCTCCAGAATACGTACAGAACCCTCAAAATTCAAAAATAAACAGTCCTATCAGAAAATGGGCAAAAGACATGGGCAGATATTCCACCCAAGAAGATATACAGATGGCAAATGAAACCATTGGCACTCCTGGGCATTTATCCCAGAATAATGAAGACTATGATCACACAGAAATCTGTACATGAATGTTTGTAGCAGCTTTATATGAAATAGCCCCAAACTGGGAAGGGTCTAAATGGCCTTCAGTGGGTGGACGGCTATATGGATTGTGGTGCTCCTATGCATGGAATATTACTCACCAGTAAAAAGTAACAAACTACTGACATTACAACTCTATTCATGAATTACCAGAGGGAAAAAAACAATCTTAAAAGGTTACATACAAGTGACTACATTCTTAAAATCACAAAAGTAACAAATATAAGACAGACTGTTGGTTGCCATGGTTGAAGAGTGTTAAGATGGGAAGGAAGTGATGCTGGCCATAAAGAAAAGGGGGGCGGTTACATGAGGGATCCCCGTGACGGAAATGTGTTGTAGCCCTATATCAATGTCAATATCCTGGTTGTTATTACATTATCGTTTTGTGAGATACGACCATTGGGGGAAATTGGGTAAACAGTGACTGGGCTCTTTCTATAGTATTTCTTTCAACTGCATTGTGATTCAACAAATGATCTCAAAAGAAAAAACTTAATTGAAAAAGTTACCATATAATAAAATACAACAGAGCTGTTAAAAACAAATCTAAAAACATTAGATTTGATCTTTAGAAATAACCCACCAATAAAATACTCATAACTGATAGATGCGGGGACTTCGGGACTGAGTGAGTTCATCCGGCAGGGTTCAGTCTGGGAAAAGGGCCATGGATCATACCACATGACATTCGGAAGGGCGAGTCCAAAACGGGTCTGTGAGAAGGCACGGAGCCCGAGAGGCAGAACTCCCAAGGATCGCTGTGCTTGGGAAACCCGGCCAGCCAGCAGCAAGGACCGGGGCAAGCTGAGCTCCTGGAAGAGACACTGTCTCCCTGCATGCAGCCCTAGTGAATGTCTCTCAGCACACGCGAGCAGAAGCTGGGCTGACTCTGCAAAATACGATCTAAACAGGCTGAGACAGGACATGTCATCCCAGCACCCAGCACAGAGGTTACCAAAGAAATGCAGCCTTGGAAGACAAGTTGCTCAGAGTCTCACCTGGGTCCCCATGCACAGAGCCAGGCTTGATGTGGACATGGCCACCTGGGGCTGGGGAGCATGGGATGGAGAGGAAGGAGTGGGCTCAGATGCAAACCTTGAGGGCTAAGACCAGAGGCGTGTTCACCATGTGTGAACAAGCATCATCAGAGCTACAGGACTGTGCAGGGACTCTCAGCAGAGGGCTCAGAGATAGTCCCTGGGCACAGTGGACGTGTCCCAGGAGGGAGTCCTGGCAGGCGGGGGGGGGGTTGCTGGATGTAGGTGGGGTTCAGAGGGGTTCAGGATCCTTCTGCATTCTCCTACGGCCTTTGCATACAGGAGTCCACCCCTGCCTCCCTCCCGGTGGCCTGGCTGGTCACTCGCCAGGCTCCTTTCTGCCTCCGACTGAGAAGGGGCTGCTATGGCCAGTCCTGGAGGCCACACCAGGCCAGGGAGGTGACCATGGGACCCAGGCTGATGGTTTTCAATCTGTGCACCTCCAAGCATCCAGGAGCCCCAGGAGTGGTGCCTTGGAGGCCAGCTGGTGGGGCAAGGCTGGGGACCAACTGTCCCAGTTGTGCAGGACCGTAAGCTGGATGAGCTGGTCACCCCAGGTGAGGCTGCCCTGGCCGCTCTGGCTCCTCCACTCCGCGAACCGGGAGGCCTCACTAGCAGCCATTCCACAGGGAAGGGCAGTTCTGCTGCCTGGTCCCCCACCCCCAAACCCCAGGTGAGGTGTCAGGACCCTCATCTCCTTCCCCAAACAAAACAGAAACAGATGACACCTCGTCCGTTTCTGCTTTTTATTGGCGTGTCTGTGCATACACAGCAAGTCCTAAGGGGAGAGTAGGGGGTGAAGCCCAGCAGGGCGACCCCCCCACACACACACACATCCTCTCTGCCAGGCCAAGTGCTCAGCGCACCTGGGCCAAGTTGTGTTTCTTGTACAGCAGCGCCCGCCTCTTCTCTCGCTCGCGCACGAAGGCGCGCAGTCGCGCTGTGGGGAAGGTCACGGCCGCTGGCTGGGAACCAGCAGGGCCCTCCTCCGTTAGCCACGGGCACTGCAGGCAGCTGGACGCGCACGGCCGGCCCCTGGAGAGAGGGCAAAGCTGTCAGCTGAGCTCTCGCTGGGGCCGGGTGGGGGAGGGAGGCGGGAGGGAAGTGGGCCAGGCGGGGTTGGTGGAGGGGGTTGGGCCCCGCCGGCCCGGTGATGGATGCGGCGGGACCGCCTTACCATGGGTGAGCGTACAAAGTGCTCCGGAGAAAAGCCACGGCGCCGCCGGACAGCCCCGCGTAGCAGCGACTCAGACGGACTAGCCCCTTGCGCAGGCTTTTCTGCAGCTCGCGTGTCCCTTCACTGCTCACGGGGTACTCCGCGCTCAGCCTGCGCGCGTGGGGGTCAGGGGACTCAGGTCACCCTCGGGTGGATGTGCGCGGGCACCGGGGGCTCTGGGCTCCCCCTCGATGGATGGGAGGCACAGGGATCTGAGGTCACCCTCGGATGGAGGACACACGGGGCCTCCGGGGGCACCCTGGATGGATCCCCAGCCTCCCGCCCCTGCGCTTGGGGGACTCACATGATGAAGGCTGTCACGCCTATGGCCCAGATGTCGGTCTGCGGGACGGCACCCTGGCCCTCCAGGAGCTCGGGAGCTGGGGGAGGACACAGGGGAGCGCCCAGGCGAGAGACTGGGTGGGTGCAGAGCAATGGGGAGGGAGGCAGGACGGGGGCGGGGCTTCCTGCTGGCCCACCCTTCTACCCCCCCGCCCCCCGCCCCAGGTCAGATTGGCATCCGCTCCCTGCGCACCCATGGTCTCCACGTAGTCCTTGAACCTCTCGGAGGGCAGGACCCTCTCCTGGGCGAGGCTCTGGGCGTTGCCCAGGTCGACGACCTTGAGTAAGTTGTACTCGGTGACGATCATGTTCTCGGACCTGAGGTCCAGATGCAGAATGCGCTGGGCGTGCAGGTACTGGGCGGCGCTCAACATCTGCCACAGGTAGTCCTTCACCTCCGACTCCGAGTAGGAGGCCCTGGGGGCGCACGGGAAGGGGGGCTTGGCTCCGTCCACGGCAGAGGGGGCATCAGCGGGGACATCAGCCCTTTCTGTGGGCCTGGGAGAGGCGCCTCCCGGCTCTGCGGAGCTCCCCGGCTCGGGCTGACCGGCGGAGGCGGGGCCGGGAGGTGGGCGGGGAGGTGTGAGCCGGTCCGCACCTTGCGCCGCCCCTCGCCCCGGCGTGTGTACCGTCCCGCCCGCGGCCCCGCATCCAGGCCGGGCCTCACCTCTCCGCCAGGCAGGGGAGCAGCTCGGGTCCCGAGCACAGCTCCAAGATGAGGACCAGGTGCCGGGGGCTGAGGTAGGCGGCCTGTAGCTGGGCCAGGTGTGGGTGGCGCAGGCTCTTGAGGGCTTCGTATTCGCGCAGCACGGCAGCCTTGTCCTCGGGGCGATAGGGGACGATCTTCGCGGCCAACGCGCGTCCGCTGGCCTTCTCCCGGCACTGCCGCACCACGCTGAAGCGGCCCCTGGGAGAAGCGGCACCGGCCAGCCTTGTGAGGGCCCCCCGCGGCCTCCTTCCCAGTGTCAGAAAAAGCAAGCTCGGCGGGAGGTGACCCGAGCCTCGGGGGAGGGGCGCGGATGCTCTGCACCAAACTTGTGTGGATGTGAGAAGTGAGGGGGGGCGGGGGGTGGAGCAGGCAGAGCCAGTGAGGCGATGGGCTGTGGCACCTTCGAATCTGCGCCTGGAAGGCGAAGGTCTGCGCGCTGGGGAGGGGCTGGGCTGGCCGCGGGGTGCGGCTCTCTTCCTCGGAGGCTGTGGGGGAAGGAGCCAGTGACTGGGAGGCACCCCTACAGCCCCAGTTCCCCCGGACTTTGTCTCCCACACCCCTTCCCAGGCGCCCTAGCCGGAGGGCTTCTGTGAACCCCCACACTCTGATGTCTCCTCCCTTGGGCCATTTGGGGGCAGGGGCCTACCAGTTAGAACAAACCACCCCAGTGAGTGCGCGTGGCTGAGTGCAGTGGCAGGGCACCCGGCCACCCCCCACCCAGGCCTCCCAGAGCGGCTCACCCAGGTGGCTGGGCCCTCCCAGGAGGACCTCCTCTGAGGGGCTGCTGTAGGGACCCATGCCCGCCTTGCTCACGCAGGCCGTCCGGAACGTGTACACCCCGCCCCTGGAAAGCTTGCTGGTGAGGTAGCAGCAGTCAAAGATGTCCGAGGCCAGCGTGTTCCAGCTGCCACCTGGGCCACACGCAAGTGGGTGAGGGACGGCCCAGGTCAGGGGCGGAGAGACCCCGAGGTGGCTGGGTTCTTCCCGAAGCCACCCAGGGGCACTGCCCTGCGGTCCTCCTGTGCGGACGCCAGGGCTGCCCAAGAGGGGAGGCCATCGGGAGGGCTCCTACCTTCCAGGCTGCTTTGTACGATGTACGTCACAGGGCCATAGGACTCCACAGGCTTCCAGACCAGCAGCACCCCATCAGCATACACCTCCCCGAGGTCGGGGCGTGGGGAAGAGCAGGGGCGCTCTGTGGGGCCCACAGTCAGCAGCCTGAGGGGGGCTCCCCGCGGCTTCCAATGCAGCACAGAGCCCCAGCCAGCCCGGCCTCACCCTCCTGCACCTGCTGCCAGGTCCCTGAGCCCACCATCCCCTGGACCCGTTCAGTCAGGGTCCCCTTCCAGCGCCGACTGGTAGAGGGGCCGGGTGCCTCTTCTGGTGGGGGCCTTGGGAGGGGTCTGCTCTGCCAGGCTCCCCTCCCACCAGTGTACATCAGCAACCTGCCGCGGAGTGGCCCTCCCTGACCGCCCTGTGCCAGCCGCGGGCTCCCATCAGAGGGGCCTGTCCTGGCTACTCAGCTTCCTCCGGCAGCCTGGACACTTGGTGGTGGCCACTGGTGGGAATCAAGCTAGTCCCACAGCCCCTGTTTTGCGTCCTCTGCTTCCCCTCTGGGGGGGCCCCAGTCTGCAGAGCCGACTCAGGCCTTCTGCGGCCCCGCCGTGGGTGACCAGGTGGTAAGCATCCCATCCCTCGGTGAAGGGCACCAGCACAAACCAACTCACCACGTGACAGGTGGTCTCCAGGCCCCATTAGAGTCAGTCCCCGCCCCGTCCCACCCAGGGGGGCCTGGCGCAGTCCACTCACCTGCCTTCCGGAGGACAGCCGTGGTGGCCACTGTGCCCAGAGGGTTGCTCACGCTGCACGTGTAAACCCCCAGGTCCTCAGCAGTCACCACCAGGATGGTCAGAAGCTGGAAGTTCTTGAGCGTGGAGGAGATGAGGAGGCGGCTGGTGCCCTCCAGGGGAGCTCCGTCTGCAGCAGGACAGAGCAGGCCTGGGGACGGCTCCAATAGGCACCCAGCCTTGAGACGCCCACCCTCTTGGGGCCCGTTTCCCTCCATACAATGACAGCAATGCCCGCAAGGGGCACCCCCTGCCTTCCTGCCCCCCAGCCCCAGGACTCCTCCTGACCTTTGGTCCAGGTGGCCTGTGCAGCTGGCTGGGCCGACACTTGGCAGGCAAGAGTCACGGACTGGCCCAGGACCACCGTTTCATCCGAGAGCTCCCTTAGAAATGATGGCGCTAGGGCATGGGAAGGGGGGGCGGCAAGCTTTCAAAGGTGACCCCCAACCCAAGAACACAGCCTGGACCCCCGAGAGGAGGATGCTGGGGAAGCCCATGCCCGCTCAGCTCATCTTCGGCACTAGCACCTCCTGAGGAAGGTCTCCAGGACTGCCCCCCCACCAATCTGGGCTCCAACCCCTGTGGATGTAAGCTTGCCCCCTCTGCCGGTCTGGGCACCAGGGAGGGGCTCCCTTCCCCCACAGTTGGGTCCCCTCGGCCCCTGGGCAGCGCACCCACCTCGGTCCCTGCTCTTCAGGCCCAACCGGAAGGAAGCCAGGCCTGCCTTCTTCCTGGGGGGGCTCTCTTTCTCCAGACCTGCAGGGAGGAACAGGCCTCTGGGAAGTGCACACAAGGGGCCCAGCTCCCCTGGGAGCATGGGAGGAGGAACTCGGAGCCACCTGCGGCGGGATCCCCACGTGGCAGAAGAGCCCCGATCCCAGGGGCTTTTGTCGCAAAGGAGCTACTCTGCTGCAGAGACCACCCCCTCCCCACCTCTGTCAGGATCAGTCTACCTTGGGCAAGGGCACCAGGCGCAGATAAGACTCGGGAGCCTGTGGTGCCTGGGGAGGCCTGGCCAAGGCCCCGACGGTCAGGGACGGGCCAGCAGGGCTGGCCTGGTTGGATGTTCTCTGTATGAGTGTCTACAAGCCTCCTTAGGTCCCCATGCTGGGCCTCAGATGCATGTGGGGAGAGGCTGAGGCCACATGGGTGACCTCAGGAACAGGGCTGGGTGTGTGTGGCACGGGGAGGGGGACCCTGGAGAGAGCAGCTTCTGGGTCACCCCAGCTCTTCCCCGCGTGGGAGCTGAGGTGCCCCAAGGTGCACCTGCCGGGTGGAAGGGAAAGGGGTGGGGCGGGGGAGTCACCTCCAGGCCTGCCCCTGAGGAGGCGGGAGATGTGGGCCACGGAGGCCCTCACCCTCTGGCGCAGTCCCAGCTCCGCGGGCTCGTCCAGTATGGCGTGCCTTCCTGGGAAGTGGAAGAGGCCGCCGGAGGGGGGCGACCACTTGCGCTTCCTGCTGCGGGGGGCCTCCCTGAGCAGAGTGTCCATGTCCTCCGGCTCCTCAGTGATCTGCAAGCTGGCTGGCGGGCCCGGCGCGCCCGGCCAGGGCCCCTCGGTTTCAGACTCGGGGGACGACGGTGGTTCTGGTGGCACAGACCTGGGGACCTTCCTGAAGATCATGAACTCGAACGGGAGATACTTGATGTCATACAGGTCGGACAGGTTGAGGTAGGCAGGCTCCACCTCTGAGATATCCAGGGACACGGTGTCGGCTGCTTCTGCGTCCCCAGACAGGTCTCGGATCTGCACTAGGGACACCTGGGAGCCCCCACCAAAGTCCTCCCACGAGCTCAGCTCTGGGGAGGCCCTTGGGGGTGCCCCGCTGCCCTCGGGAAGGGGTTCTGCGCTGGCCTGGGGGGGTGGGCTCTGTGCCCCAGCATCCTCATGCTCCTCGGAGGACTGAGAGGTAGCCCAGACCATCCTGGCCCACAGGGGACCCTGCCCCAGCATGCCCCCCGCGTCCCCGCCAAAGGCAAAGGTGCCATAGCCTGCCACTCCCGCGTAGCCCCCACCGCGCGCCCCCAGTGAGAACTTGCGCGCGGTGGTCTGCTCCTGAGGGCGCTGCGGGCTGGGCTCAGACTCTGATGCGTCTTCCGGCTCCGCAGCCTGGGAGGGGCCAGGTTGCACGCCCACTGCGGAGGCCAGCCCTGGGGAGCTGGGGGGACTCGGCCTCCCAGGGAGAGGGGTGTCCTTTGGTCCCTTCTTAGAGGCCGGCTGGGGGCTTCCTTTGGCCGGAGAGAGGGAGGAGCTCAAGGGTGCCAGGAGGGACCCCGTGCACTGCTTTGCAGGGAAGGAGCCAGAAGGTTGTGGTGTAACAGCCTGAGGGCGGCCACAGCCTTCCTGGGGAGCAGGACTCCTCTGGGGATGAAAGGAAGGCGCGGCCTGCCCCCCGCGGCTGTCCTGAGATGACCCCTCTTGCCGAGTGGACTCCGGGTCGCCACCGGTGCACGGAAATAGTCCCGGCTCCTGCCGGGACCCCTCCGGACGCTCCGTGTCCCTGGCACGAGAGAGCCCTCCCGGCCAGCTCTCCCCGGAGTCCGCCTGGAGGTCCGAGCGGCCCGGGCCACGGCACTGCGCTCCGCCACCGGCCTCAGGCGCCGCGCTGGCGGG